CACACAAATATATATATATATATATATATATATATATATATATATATATTGTTGCGTCTTAGAGTATTCACGGCGGTAGAAAAATATAAAATTTAACGTCTTAACTTTATACGAAAATCCATCACACAATCATATAAGAGAGAGAGTGTAGTATTCACTAGAGACACCAAGATTTTTATGTGGAAAACCCTTAAAAAAAGGGCAAAAACCACGAGGTCTAGCCTAGTTTGAATGAATCCACTAGTATTTCAGTTGATTACAAATGAGGCCTTTCCTTAGGGGAAGGCCTTTGCTTGATGTACATCTTATAGAGTACATTACATGATGTGAATACAAGGAGTCATTGTTGCTGTGTTTGTTTGGTCGGGAGGATCATAATCTGGTGACAGAGGTTAGAAAAATCGTAGTCGGCGGGTGACAAAGGTCGCAAAGACCGTTGTTTGGCGACAAATGTCAAAAGGACTATAATCGGTAGGCGACATAAGTTAGGAGGACCGTAGTCGGCAGGCGATGAAGGTCGGAAGGACTGTAGTCGGTGAGCGACGTAAATTAGGAGGACCGTAGTTGGTAGGCAACGAAGGTCGAAAGGACTGTAGTCGGTGGGCGACGTAAGTCAGGAGGACCGTAGTCGGCGGGTGACCGAGGTCGGAAGGACTGTAGTCGGTGGGCGACATAAGTCAGGAGGACCATAGTTGGACAGCGACAGGGTCGAAAGAATTGTAGTGTGTGGGTGACATAAGTCAGGAGGACTGTAGTCGGCGAGCGACGGAGGTCATAAGGACTGTAGTCGGTGGGCGACATAAGTCAGGAGGATCGTAGTCGACGGGCGATAGATGTTGGAAGGATTGTAGGTTGTGGGTGGCATAAGTTAGGAGGACTGTAGTCAGTGGTCGACATAGGTCAGAAGGACTGTAGTCGGTGGGCGACGCAACTTATGAGGACCATAGTTGGTGGGTGACAGGGTCGGAAGAACTGTAGTTGGTGGGTGACGTAAGTCACAAAGACTATTGTCTGGAAACGAAGGACATAAGGACTATAGTCGGCGGGCGACGTAAGTCAAGGGGACTATAGTCAGCGAGTGATGGAGGTCAAAGGACTGTAGTCAGTGGGCAACATAAGTCATGAAGACCATAGTCGGCGGGTGAAAGAGGTCGGAAGGACTGTAGTTGGTGGGCGACGTAAGTCAGGAGGATCGTAGTCCGCGGGCGACGGAGGTCGGAAGGACTGTAGTTAGGGCGATGTAAGTTAGGAGGATCATAGTCGGCAGGTGATGGGGCTCGGAAGGACTGTTGTCTAACAACTGAGGTTATAAGTACGACGTCAGATAGAAGTCCAATAATTGATAGAAATCCGATATCAGATAGATGTTTGAAGAAAATCCAACAATATACAGAAGTTTGATGTTAGGTAGAAACCTGGCGATGAGTGGAGGTTCGCCGGGCAGAATTTTGGCATCACTTGGGTGTCGGACAGAACTCCAACGTCACTTAGGCGTCCCCTAAAAAGGGGGAAAAATCACTAGGCCTTGCCTAGTTTAAATGAATCCATTAGTATTACAATTGATTACAAATGA